TAGAGATAGAATAAGATTAAAGAATGACGTTGCTGGTAGTTCTTTAAATCCAGGTAGGAAATAAGTTGCCAGGTACTCTGGGAGATTCTGAGGGGACCATAGGATTCGTAATACAGACCGGACGTTTGATTGAACTCAGTGATATTTATGAACGCTTTTAGGTTTTCTGCATAATATTGAGAGAAGTGAGTAACCATTCTGTAACAAACAATAATGATTATTTGTTAATTATTATTCATGAAAGAGTTTAGCCATGTTCTTGTGGAGTGTTTGACGTTTGCCATTTTTGTTAATAACTATATTTACTGAATCAGCGTTTGTGTCTAATATTTCAAAAGGACCTAACCATTTAGGAGCCAGTTTTCCTTTGTTAGCCTTTTCCTGAATTAAAACTTTATCACCAATATGAAGTGTGGGAAGGAATTGAGTTTGGTCATAGGAGGTTTTAGATTTCTGCTTCTTTTCTAATAATCTTTTTCTGGCAATATTATGAGTTTCTTGCATGTTTCTTTTTAATTCGAATTGATAGTCTGTATAATTATACTGTGGTTCCGGTTCTCGGGTAAATGATGTTGGGACTTGGGCTTCATAACCGTATAAAAGTTCGTAGGGCTGGTATCCCGTGGCAGAATGAGTTGTTGAGTTGTAAGTGAACATAGCAAATGGAACATAAGTGTCCCAGTTTCGCTGATCTTTATCTACGAAGTGTCGAAGATACTCACCTAAAGTCCGGTGACTTCTCTCGAGACTTCCATTGCTCTGCGGCCTATAGGGAGTTGTAGATGTTTTTTTTATTTTCAGTAGACGACATGTTTCTTTAAACACATCACTAAGAAATTCGGTGCCACAATCAGTAACGAGATTCTGAGGGATACCATGTAAGCATATGAATTTGGTTACAAAATGATAAGCAACAGTGTTTGCTTCATGATTTTCCATAGGGACAGCCCATGAAAATTTTGTAAGATCATCTTGAAGAGTTAGGATGTAGGCATTGTTATGAGGTGTACGTGGAAGAGGACCGACTACATCCATAAAAACTTTCTCAAAGGGCTTTGAAGAGGTAGTAGTAATTACCATCGGTGCTTTTACATGACGATTTGTAGTCTTGTTTTTCTGACATGATGTACATTTTTTTATAAACTCAGCCACGTCATGATTCATACCGATCCATGAGTGTTGTTTCTTTAATCTATTGATAGTTCGTGATATACCCTGATGACCACCTAAGGGATTTAGGTGAAATTCTTGAATGATATGAGATTTTTGTTCTGATGAGTATTCAACTAGAGAATAGAGAAGAATGTGAATGTTAGAGTCTCTGAAGATATAGTTTATGATAGATCGAACATTTAACCAATCTAGACCAGTATCTATTTTAGGTAAAGCTATTTTATCTAAATGATTTACATGACAAAATTCTCGGAGATTTTGTAGGGCAGTGAAAATAATTTCGTATTTTGGTTTCTGCCAAATCTTCTCTTTTATTATTATGTAGAGGATAAATCTATTGGATTGTTTGAGAAAAGCGATTTCAGTAACATTCTTGTTTTGTTTCCGCAGACTAGATAATTGCCCAAATTGTCGACGAAAATCTAAAGCAATTCCTTTTGATAACTTGAGATCTTTGGATACAAAATTTGCCAGATGATAGTCTGAGGGTGCATTCAACACCTTCCCATGGGTTTCTACTATATTTTTAGGAAGATTAGAATAATGGCTGATATTGTTCAATACGTATTGACACGGAGATTCTGTGATGGTTTCATTAATATTGGAAAATGAAGATGATTTTGGATATTCTGGAGTTAGTGAATGTTCTGAATTTTCTGGAGTTAATGAGTGTTCGGAATATTCTGGATTTCGTAAATGTTCTGGATTTTCTGAATTCATCGATTCGGTTACTGATTTACTTGTTGAACGAGTAGTTACCTGATGGATTCTACTCAAAGCATCAGCGTTGGTATTTTGTGATCCTTTTTTATAGTGCACTGTGTATTGATACTCTTCTAGTTTTAATCTCCATCTGGTTAACCGGGACCCAGGATCTTTGAGGTTAAATAACCACGTGAGAGCACGATGATCTGTGACAATTGTGAATTTCTGACCAAAAAGATAAGGGCGAAACTGTTTTACACCCCATACAATACTTGTTAGTTCCTTTTCGGTGGTGTTGTAGTTTTGTTCTGCCTTATTTAATGTTCTGGATGCGAATGCTATAGGTAAATCCTTTCCTATAGGACCTTGAGACAAGATACAACCTACGGCATAGTTGCTAGCATCACAAGTGAGGACAAAGGGTTTCTCAAAGTCAGGATATTGAAGAATTGGAGCTTGAGTTAATACGAATTTTAACGTCTGAAAAGATTCTTGGCAAAGGTCACTCCAAGTAAATGGGACATACTTTTTTAAGAGAGCTGTTAAAGGTTTTGCAATTTCCCCATAATTTTTAATAAATCGTCGATAATAACCGGATAATCCAAGAAATGACTTAACTTCCTTAACATTTTTAGGTACGGGAAAATTTTGAACGCATTCTATTTTTCTTGGATCAGGTTTAACACCTTGGTCTGTAATAACATGACCTAGGTATTGAGTTTCCTTGCGGAGAAATTCACATTTAATAGGTTGTAATTTTAGATTATATTGTCTAAGTCTATCAAAGATTTCTGTGAGCTTTTGAGAATGATCGTCTAAATTTTTAGCATATATGATTATATCATCTAAGTAAACGAATGCTTCTACTACATTTATGCCAATTAAAACTTTGTTCATCAGGCGTTGGAATGTGTTTGGTGCACCTTTCAAACCAAAAGGCATACGAATAAATTCAAAATGACCTTTGTCAGTCGAAAAAGCGGTTTTTTCGCGGTGTTCGGGTAACATAGGGACTTGATAATAACCATTTGCTAGATCAAGAGTACTGTAATAGCGAGATTTACCAAGCTGGTCAAGGATATCAGTGATGTTAGGAAGAGGATAGGCATCTCCTTGAGAGACCTGATTGATTTTTCGAAAATCAACGCAGACGCGATATTTGATATTTCCATATATGTCTGGTTTTTTTGGTACTACTAATAATGGCGCATTCCATGGAGATTCACTAGCAGCTATAACTCCCTCTTTCTCGAGTTGTGCTATTTGTTCATTAATCTCATTCTTGTGTTTGTAAGGGAGTCGATAGGGCTTGTCCATTATCGGCTGGACATTATCAGGTGTTTTAATTTCGTGATATACCGCTGTAGTATGCGTAATTGGATCCCCTTCTAAATGGAATACGTCGGAGAACTGACTGCAAATGCTTTCCAATGAATTTCGTTCTTCATTGTTCAGATGATCAGTACGAAGAGCNATCGGAGAACTCACTGCAAATGCTTTCCAATGAATTTCGTTCTTCATTGTTCAGATGATCAGTACGAAGAGCTTGCTTAAGTCGACTAATTCTGCTTCCATCGAAGTTACTTTGGGATTGTGACTGCGTAATATTTATAGATACTTCTAGATATTCTTCGTAATTAAGACTTTCGAGATTTGGTATNCTTCGTAATTAAGACTTTTGAGATTTGGTAACTGAAGATGATGTTCGGGTTGTTCTGACGGATTTAAAATAGAAAGTAATACGCGATTCCCTTGGACCTGAGTTACGACATTTCCACTTACGAGGTTTTCGTTAATTGACTGAGAAGGAATTAAGAGCATGGTGCCTTCTTTAATAGTCGAAGCTGGTATGGTAATAAGAGTTTCTGATCGAGGAGAGATAACAATACCGGCTGAATTCGGAATGATTAATTCATTGGTTCCATAATTTATGAGAGTCTGATGTCCTACTATGAAAGGTTTTCCTAGGATTCCGTCATGAGGTATGGGAAAGTCAGGATGAATTAAATGGAACTCTGCTTGAAGGAATTGGTTATTTAGTTGTATAGTTAAGGTAGTCATTCCTAATGTCATAACTAGTTGGTCAGTTATGCCCTTCAAATGATATATTATGTGATCATAAAAAATCACATTACTTTTAAGAGATGATACTTTAATAAGGTTTAGGTCACTACCGGAATCAAGTAGAAGTCTGGCAGTGCCCGAGTTTGTCTGATGAATTGGGTAGACAACATGGTGGTTATCTAATTTTGCGGTAAAATGGAGAGATCGGCTAATTTGATGCTGCTGACAGGTTTTCCGCCGAAAGTTGCCTGTCGTGTCTCGTTTCCCGCATGAGATGTTTGTGGTTCTAGTGTTGATTGTGATTGTTTCTTGTTGTTAACCCATTGGCGATTTCTGCATACTTCTAAAGTGTGTCCTGATTTTTTACAATAACGACACACAACCATTTGAACGTGAGCCAAGTTAGAACGATAGTTTTGCAAATTAGATTTAGGCTTAATAAAATTNTTTTGCAAATTAGATTTAGGCTTACTAAAATTTGATGGTTTATGCGTGTGATTTGAAGAAGACCTGCAGTCTTTTGCTAAATGACCAGTTTTTGTACAATTAAAACACATAACTTTTGACTTTCCTCCTGTTGTAGGGGTCAACTTCCTAGATTCGTGCCATGATTTTCGGACACGCTCTTCTTCACGGGCGGCTTGAATAGCCTTCTCTAATGTTGGTGGATTGCGAGCATTTATACAGTCTTTAAGATTATTTAAACCTTC